AGTGTTTCGGTTTGCGTACGGAGATCGACTACTCGGATGTGACCGTCGGAATCATGGTGAAGGTTTTCTAAGCGGCCAAGCCGCCATTCGGTAGGGGGGAGACAATCATCGTGTACTAGCACGCAATGTCCAAGCTTCGTTGCCTTTTCTGGAGGTTTCCAGCGGTACCTCTTGTGGAGGTCCTTTAAATACTCTTCTTTCCCTTGGCGGCTAAAATTGTGATGGAGAATTTTGATTCTTTCAAATCGGTTTAATAAGAATAACGACTCCACTTCTTGCTCAGGTATGGCCTGAATGGGTGGTCCTTTGAGAAAATGCCCAGGAGTTAGGGCGGTGAAATCGGAGGGATCTTGCGAGAGGATTGTGATTGGCCGTAAATTAAGTACGGCTTCAATTCGAATTAATAAGGTCGTGAATTCTTCATAATTAAACTTGTAGTTTCCAGCTACTTTTTTGAAGTGGGATTTGAAGCTTTTTACAACTGATTCCCATAAACCACCCATATGAGGAGCGCTTGGGGGGATAAAATGCCAATTAATGCCTTGGGGTGCGTACTTCTGTGGTGAGACTTGTTTGATAAAGTTCACAAACTGTTTATCAGTGGCTCTTTTGGCTCCAATAAACGTTTTGCCGTTGTCACTCATTATTTTTGAAGGAAAACCACGCCGTCCAACGAAGCGAGCGAATGCCGCGAGAAAAGTCTCTGTCGTCAGATTTGTACATAGTTCAAGGTGAACAGCTTTTGTCGTAAAACAAACAAAAACTGCCACATAGCCTTTCATTGAAGTGGGAGACCTTAACATTGAAGCCTTTGTCTGGAAAGGCCCAGCAAAATCGACACCTGTTGTTGTAAAGGGCAGATCAAAGTTGCAGCGTGCAGGTGGAAGTGCTGTCATTATCTGCGTTCGCTGATTTTGCTTGTACGTTGTGCAAACTTTGCGGACTATTTGTTGCATGAGTCGGTGCTCGGCGTGTAGCATCAGTATGTGGACATAATGCAGATATAATGTGGCAAGCCGTGCTTTTTCTTGTATGATTATGGGATGTCGTTCGTTGTATGTCAGGCTGGACTTGACAAGATGACCATTCGCACGAAGCAGACCCTTTGTGTCCAGAAATGGATTTAGTACTAAAAGTGAGCTCCTTTTATCCATCGGCTTCGAATCTTTTAGCAATGATATTTCACGGCTGAAGTAGCGCGCTTGAGTAGATGGGATAAGAGCGCCTTTTGCCTTTTGTAAGTGTAGGTGCGTTAATGTATCGCATTGGGGGTATATTGGAGATGTTCCGTTAACTTTAGTTTTGAGCTGCTCTATAAATTTGATCATGTAGGCAACTACTCTGAGGGCTCGGGGGAACGATGAGAATCGCTCAAGGATGTCAGTATCATCCGATGTTGCATGAAAAGAGTCGATTTTTCGACTTTCTGGGGCAATTATATTGCGCATGGGCGCTTGTGGCCAAGAATCATGAGATTCTGTTAACCAGTAGGGGCCTTGTACCTAGGTCAGCAGGATTATCAGCACTGGCTACATGTGGCCAAGTGGCTGATCCTACTAATTCAAGGATTTGAGACGTTCGATTGGAAATATACGTCTTCCATGCATGTGGTGGTTTTTCTAACCATGCTAATACAATTTGGGAATCTGACCATAGATATAATTTATATTGTGAGATGTTTGCGTTTGTGTGCGTTTGTACGATGGACACTAGTTTGGCTAGTAATAGCGCTCCACATAGTTCAAGTCGCGTCAGACTTATTGTTTTTAAAGGAGCCACTTTTACCTTTGCTACTAATAAGTAGCTTGTGGTCGCAGTGTCGCTTTGTGTGCGAACATATGTATATAGTTGCGCAATATGCCTTTTCAGAAGCGTCACAGAAGCCGTGTAGTTTGACTTTGTGCTCTGGGGCATAATTTACCTAACGTAGGATTTGTATCTGTGAGATATCATTTAGATTGCTCGCAAACTGGGACCACTTTTCTAAACGAAGTGGTTTTACTTGTTCGTCCCAGTCGGTTCCATCTAACCATAATTCTTGTATTAGGATTTTGGCTTGTATCATAACTGGCGAAAGCCATCCTGCGGGGTCGAAAAGTTTCGCCACAGAGGATAGACTTTGTCGCTTTGTTTGGAGTTTTTAACATCTGGGTTGCCAGAGGAATTTCTGACTTGGTGTTTCCTGGCAATTCGTGCAGTGTTCGAATGGCTAGATATGGAGCACAGTTGACGCCAAAGGTAACCGTTTTTAATTTACAGTCGCGGAGTGGACTATTGGGAGATTTTCGGAAAATAATTCGCTAAAAATCTTGATCGTCTTTATGTACGACTATTTGTCTATACATTTTTTCGACGTCTCCGTTAAATACGTATTTGAATATATGTCAATTTAAAATGAGTAGCATTAAATCTGGTTGGAGCGTGGGTCCCGTAAATAGGATATAATTTAGGGAATTCCCCGAGCTGGTGGATCTTGATGCATTAAAGACAACTCTTACTCTCGTTGTTTTTTTGTCTGGCTTTACCACTGCATGATGCGGCAAGTAAAATGAGTAATATTTGCCGTTGATGATTTTTTCGCATGGACTTACTCCCTCCATGTGGTCTAAATGGAGGTATTCTTCCAACACACCATCATATGCTGGTTTGAGTTCACCTTTTTTAAGTAGGTTTTCTTCCATACTTTGAAACTGCTGTATTGCAGAGGTGCGAGAGTGACCTAAGGCAATTGTGTTGGGAAATTGTTGTTTTAGTGGTAGACGTACGACATACCTGCCATTATCTGATCTAGTAGTTGTGGCTTTGTAAAAGTCTTCACAATACTGATCTTCTGGGGTTGTAATTGAAATGGGGGGAAGTTCTTTTAACTCCCAAAATTTTTTCAATTGTGAATTGAGGTATTCATTTGAGATTTCCTCAACTTGAGTTGTCATAGTGGTAACTGTTTCCGTAACTAGTCCACTTAGGATCAACCGAAAATGGTATTTTGTGCCAATAGTGTGTTTGAAATTTTACCTACACCCTCGAGTATTATCTGAGGTATGAGATCGCTTCCTATAGAATGTCTATTTGAGCGGGGGTGTTGCAGTTGGGACCTGGTAGCTTTAGGTGTGAAACCTTTTGCCAATGCTTGCTATTTATATAATAGCTTGGAAGCATATTTGTTAGTTGTGATAAGACTATAGCTTCTGCTTTAATTCTCTTATCCGCTTGGGTTGAAATTAAGGTAATGGGACAGATTTTATTAGAGTTTTGCACTACTCTTCCGCCAATTCCTGTAATTTCAAAGTTGGCTTGTTTTGTTGGCAGTTGCAGCTTATTTTGTGCCCTAGACGCTATGAAAGATCGTTGTGATCCTTGGTCTATGGGTGTTCGATGGAGACGACTGCTGTGGGTGGTAGTACCCTACTTTGGTAGTAGCGTTTGAGTTTTTAATGCCTTTGAGCAACATGGTGCTTCTTGGCAATTTTCGGGATTTCGCACTTCAGGATTTGTTGTTGCAACTAAACCCGTGGCTCTTTTCATATTTGCGCTGTTTGGGGGTGAGCTGGAAAAATTGTTATAATGAAGCATAGAATGATGTCGTTTATGACAATAAACGCAATTAAATGTTTCTTTCGCACTCTTTAAGTGTATGCGCATGTGACAAGCAGTTTGTGCAAAGTCTTTTTGTTTTTACAAAATTGTTTCGGTCGATAATATTCAATTTTTTGAATCTCTCGCAAGATTTGAGCTTATGCCCCCCTGTACATGTTCGCATGACGTTTGCTTGTACTGTTCGGATGTGAACGTTTGATTTTTGAAGAAGCTTTTATTTAAATTGTTGTTGCTACTGGCTTGGGGTCTGTGAAAGCTTCTATTTAGGTCGTGTTGGAAGGTTTTCGTTCTGACCATTTTTTTATCTACCCTTTCTGCGATTTCGTATTGGGTTATTAAAAAGTCTTTCGTCTGTTGCCATGTTGGGCATTTTTTTCGAGATGAGAGCGATTGCTCCCACAAAAGTAACGATTTTTCTAGTAAAGCGGCGGTACATATATTTACCAGTATTGGGTCCCAACTGTCTGTGGGAATATTTTGTGTCGATAGAACCGACAAGCAATTAGAAACATTGGATTGCAGTTTTATAAACTCTTCACTCTCAACCTTTAGAATCTTAGGTAAGTTCATTAGTATCGTTACTTGCTTATCGACCAATATTCTTTCATTTTCATATCTGGATTTAGTGCGAACTGTTTTACTATTACGCCTGCTTGACCTTTTGTTTTGTATCGGAGGTGATAAAATTTTTGTGCATTTACGCTTTGCATCTTGGCTTTGTACTTGTGGCAGCTCTACTCGTTGATGTGGAGTAGGTGCAATTGCTTTTATTAGCTTTAGTTGATCAGAAATCATTGCTTTAGTTTTTTCGAACTGGTCTAAGCAGTTTTCGTATTTGGCGTAAGCCGAAGATTTGAAATTTTCTGGTAGATCTGAGTCGTCAGATTCTGCAATTGCGTCATATGCAGCTTGGAGACGTGACCAAAAATTGTCAAGATTGTCTTTTTTGATTTCTAATACCGATTCAGAATTGTCCTGAATCGGCGAAGATGAGAATCTAGCGCAGTATCTTATAAAACTGTCACTTTCCGAAATGAATTTTGTATAAAAAATGTCTCTACCCCTTTTTTGTTTTGCAGCACCTTGCTTTGAGCGTGTAGCTTCTGCTGGTGTGCATGGACTTTTTTCGTCCGAAATCATTTTTGGTACTTTAGAGACTGTGTTGTTTTTGAATCTTTTGAGTCTGAGCTCATTTAGAAATTGTATGAAATAAATTAAAAATTCCTCAGTGTCGACTGATGGATAATTCAGGAAATATCTTCATATATATAAGTAGGGTGACCACCTTTTCAAGATCTCATTTACGTACACAAAAATTTTTTTGCTTGCCTCTTTCTATAATGATAGTTAGATTACTATAAGTTTATATTATGTACAGTTTTTAATTAATGAAAAAACGGTGCTTGAAAATGCAATTTAATTTAATTTGATTTCAATTTATGGTCAAGTTATGGAGAAAGTAGTTTATTTTTCGGTATCCAAACTCGTTTTTTGCTTACAAATTTCAGCAGACTTATTTTTGTTTTCGTCGATCTGATTGGCATTTTTGAATGCGTATTTTTTATTTGATGCAATTTCCTTCAACATTTTAGGTTGCATTTTTAAAAATTCAAAAAATTCCTTACAAGTCATTTTAATGTTGTATCGAACATATAAAAGATCTCGCAATGTTTCGATCTTTATTTGTGATTTTTCATCGTTCCAAATCTGATTGATCAGAGAAAATACTCGTTCAACGGTGGCTGATGTGCCTGGCAAGGAGAGAATATACGATATGATTCTGACCATGTGGTTGTATGGAACCTTCTTTTTGACGAAATGTTGAAAAATTTCAACCCAGCGTTGATCGGTGGCAGTACCATTTTCTTCCCACGATTGGATTTTCTCTTCGGTTACGTATCTTTCCAAATACGTGAACTGATCGAATAAATCAGTATCGGATGATTCCAGATCAAAATGGTTATTGGTTGCGATGTACTTCGCGGTGGTTTCGATAAACTTCCATTGCGGTGGTTGATCAAGCGCACACCAGGCAAAAATCATAATATGGTCAAATTGTTCTTTCCACTTTTCAATATATTTTATACATGATTCTTAGAAAGAAATGAATAAAATCTTTTAAATTGAAAATAAATCTAAATTAATATTCGAACCATAGAATTGACGTGAGAGATCTTGCATCTCTTCTTTTGACACTCTTCGTCAACAGCAGAAATATGTTCCATTTCCTTTTGCACTGGAGCGGACAAAAATGCTTCTTTTTTTTGAGATTCGAGCGATTGGACAAAAGAATTGAGTGCATGCCCAACTTCCATTGCATTAATATTGTCGCTTTCCACTGCTTTAACTGTTCTGTTGAAAATAGATGCCTACATAAGAAATTAAAAAGAAAGTTATTGGTGCCTGACACATTTCATTCCCATTAACCGATACTTACTTGATCACGAAGGAAAAGCAGCCACATCTTGGCCCTTGGATCTTCAAAAAATAGTAGCAAAGAATTTGGGGTGTTGGGATCTCCCAAAAAATACTCCTTAAGACCATCAAAAATTCTTAATATTGAGTCGACTGATGACAACAAGCCTAGGAAACGAGTTTTGCTGTAACCTATCAGTTTTTTATATTCCACATCCACGGAATCAAATAATTTTTTCAATTTTGCGACACGCACGGTGAACAAATAGAAATGTCAATAAATTTTGACTACAATCATCTCCACATCAAAAGGCATTTTGTCGCAAGCTTTTTTTAAAGTATTGTGAACAATATGCGCTGCACATCCAAAGCCATATATATTTACTCCACGTTTTCGCGACATTTTAAAAAAATAATACAACGTACACACACAATAGCGTAGCTTCCACAATATCACCTTTCAGCATAAGTTCCACAAATTGTTGGTAGAAAATACATGAATAAATGTAAATAAGAAGAGCTTTAACATATGTAAATTCTCTTTAACACGAACAAATACAATAAAAGCATTCCACAAACGGCGTTGCCATAATGGCGAGTTTAACATAGTTAAAGCTGGGTGAATATATTTAATTTGCATTACGGGTATTCATTCCATCGTCACGGGTGGGACACAATTGTATAGCAATTTTTTGTTGTTTTAACGCAAATTACGTACATCAATATTCTCCGTTTCAATTTACGTACATTTTCGTGATTTTCGCTAAAGCTTCGGTACACGGTACATGGCTCCAAATTTACGTACTGTACGTGTCATTTACGTACAGGTGGTCAGCATATATATAAGTGTGTGAACGAAAGCTTTTTTTTTAGTGAATAGAGTTTTCCACTTCGAACAAAATTAATATTAATTTTCGTATATACTTGTATGTATAACCGCATAAAGTTTTTTTTGTTAATTAGCGTTCTTAATTTGAAATAAATAACTGAAATACCCGGATTTAGTTGTTATAGATACCGGTTCGTATTTATTTGTAATTTAATTTAATTTAACAATTTATTGAACATTTTTTATTTATTTATTTTTTTTTATGTCCTTATTTAGTGGTATGTAGGTACACCCTAATGGTATGTATATATGTACTTGTGCAATTGAGAGCTCGTTGAAGAGATCAATGCACTTTGTACCATTGTATAAGCCTACAAGTAGCCAAGGAATCAGCTGTTTTCCTATGTGTGTGAAACAGCCGTGATCACCTGATCGAATCTGCCATTTTTTTGACACAGAGATGTAAATGAAAAGCTTGTTTGTGAACATGTATTTGTAATGGAGAATATTAATGAAAACTTTCAAGAATATTTTCGAAACAAAAGATTATTATATATTTATTGCTTTTCCTCACAACCTCTGAGCTTGCAATATAGGTGCGTTACCGATCATTTTTGGGTGTTCGGTTCCCCAGGAACTCTATATTCACCCATATAATATATACAGTTCTTAAACAATCTACTTTTCATAACAATTGTAACTCGAAAAGATATATACATAAAATCAGGTACATGAATCAGGTTCATGAATATTAATTATTTGATTTGAACAAAAAAGAAATAAATATAAAAAATATTCTAAATCACCGTTACACAATAATATATTTGATAAAATTGGAAACATTTAATAATATTTCAATACAATAAATGATATTTTAAATAATACTATGTAAATTTAATCTTTAGGAATTAAAACAACCCAAAAATATTTGCATATGGAATAAAAACATTCTTAAAGTTATAAATTTTAAAACATAACACGGCAACACACTAGAGCAGATTTCTGTCATTTGGACGTTTTAGTAGTAGAATATTGGTTGGCAACCCGTACAAAGTGTGACTTTAGTAGCAGAATATTGGTTGGCAACCCGTACCAAGTGTGATTTTAGTAGTAGAATTTTCGAGGCAACCCATACCAAGTGGGATATTTTTGCGTGTGGATTAGTGAAAATCTTAGGATTAGTTACTTGTATATTTACACAATGCTTTGTACCTACTTATGTACGAGTAAGCACGAATTATTTGTGCTGAAAAGTTTTGTACGCAATCCTGCTTGCTTGTTGCAAGGGGTATTGCGGGAGATGTGCCAAAGTGGACTTTGAACATAAAATATAAATTTAGTTTGAACCAATATGTATGTAGGTATATTGTTAAAAATTATTAATATTAATTTTATATAATGTAGTATGATTTTTATTAAATAATCCGCCTTTTATTTACCGAACCGAATTTATGCGAAATGATTGGTTTTCTTTTAGCTGTACCCTATGTATATAAGTATATCGTATATATAAGTATAAGCGGATTGTATACTGTATGTAATGCAAATAAGCGAATTATGTATAATCGTAAAAGAGCGCGAGAGAGAAATTAGCAATAGCAAGTAATGGTGCAATTTTCAGTAAGTACTGTATATATGTAGGATATATACATAAGTATGTAAAATACGATATGTGATATACGATATTAAATATTTAATATGGAAAAATACATATTTATGTATACGTAATTATGCACGCTGTATATAATTTTATATATGTAATTTTTATACTCTCGCAACCTGTTGCTACAGAGTATAATAGTTTTGTTCACCTAACGGTTGTTTGTATCACCTAAAACTAATCGAGTTAGATATAGGGTTATGTATATATAAATGATCAGGATGAAGAGACGCGTTGGAATCCGGGTGACTGTCTGTCCGTCCGTCCGTCTGTCCGTCCGTCCGTGCAAGCTCTAACTTGAGTAAGAATTGAGATATCTTTATGAAACTTGGTAGACATGTTTCTTGATACCGTGAGACGGTTGGTATTGCAGATGGGCGTAATCGGACCACTGCCACGCCCACAAAACGCCATTATTCAAAAACAAATAAATTGCCATAACTAAGCTCGGCAATAAGATACAAGACTGTTATTTGGTATACAGGATCACAATAGGGAGGGGCATCTGCAGTTAAAATTTTTTTAAGTGGGCGTGGTCCCGCCCCTAATAGGTTTATTGAGCATATCTCCTAAACCGCTAATGCAATAATAACAAAATTCACTGGAAGCAAATGTTTTAAGAACCTCTACCTACAGTGTGAAAATGGGTGAAATCGGGTGGCAACTCCGCCCACTCCCCATATAACGGTACAGTTAAAAACTACTAAAAGCGCGATAAATCAAGCACTAAACACGCCAGAGACATTAAATTTAATCTCTGGAATGGTATGAGATGACTTTATAGGAACCGCGTTCAAAATTAGACAGTGGGCGTGGCACAGCACGTATTATATACATATATGTATCTGTATGTGTATGAATGTACATATATATTACAATAAACGGTTTTTCGTTATTTGCAACATACCTGCAACTTAAACCGGTAAGTTAGACCGAATTGCCACCCGTTACCAAGATATTGAACTGTGTTTTGGTGTTTTATTACAGTTTTTGTACAAAATATAATCTGTAATTCGCAATGAATATACATATGTATGTGCATAAATATAAGGAAAGGAATCGAATGGACTCACTTTGATTTCCTCCAAGGGCTTTTGGGGAATATATGTATTTGCGAGTGTATACAATTACGTGCGTATACATGTGTTCAGGATTTCTGGATTATTTTCGCGCCCATTTTGTTTTTTTGTTGTTATTTAAATGTAAATTAAAATGTATTTAAAAATTTTATCTCTCTGTTTTTTTGGTTTTTAAAACACCACTTTTTAGCCACTCTTTATTTTATGTTGTTAATATGCACATAAGGGGTTTTTTGATATATATGTAAATATATATTTTTTTTTTTTCGTAAAACACAGTGCATATACATATGTATATAAATAACTTTTTGTATATGTGTTTAATACACTTCACCGCACTTTGGATGCTTTTTGTTTTTTGTTAAACACTGCAATGCAATTGTTCGTCTCTGTAGATAGCATTTTGTTTTCACTGTCCCACTGCACTTTGTGTTTTGTTCACTTTATCTATTTTTTTTTTGTTTGGAATCTATATTGCCTTTCTTTTAGACTCCATGTATTTATTCCAACCCTTTGGAATTATTGCATTCATCATTCACTCTTCAATAACGTGTCGCAACAATTGAATAAAATGAAATTATGTATATTCAACACCCACTTAATACAACAATCACTTGCGACGCAGCGCAGAAAAAAAAATGTATAAAAATGCTTTAGATTATAAGAAAAAATGGAATTGTCCGGCTCAGGTCTGCTGATGCACGATACGCGACGGGAATCTGTATGTTGACGAGGTGTCTGCTTTGAATTTGATACGCCAAAAGAGGTCAGCCGCTTCGAGTGTTTGTGGGTTTGTTGATGGTTGGTGGGGTGATCGGCCGGTGTGTTGGATATCCTAGGTGGTAGTGTCGTTGTGTTAGGTGAGGTGGTGAATGTTGCGAGAGGTGCTGTGTGATGTAGATTGTGTTAGTTGATGTGGGAGGTGTGTTGGTGTGTACGTTTTCGGGACATTTTCGTGTACGTTTCGTAGGCTCATTTAGCCACTTTGTTGCCACTTTTCCCTTCTAGAGGGAACATAAAAAAGTTGTTTAATTTATGATTTCTAGCTTTTACCATCGTCGCGAAAAGACGCTTGTAGGCAAACGCATGCTCGGAGAGATGTGTAAAGCGTTTGCTTTTATGAATTAAACGACATAGCTTATTCCATGTGCGCCAGCGTTCATGAATGAAAATGTTGTTGTTGTGTGATTTACTAAATATTTGGGATTTGTCAATTTGGCTGCCATATTGATTTCTGACGCTGCTCATGCTATTTGAGAGAATTGTTGTTTTTGTATAACAATGTTTTGTTTTTTTCTATTGGCTCACATACTTATATTTGTACACATATATATGTATATATATGGATTTACGTATGCATTACTTATTTTGAAATGTCATACGCATATTTGTACATACATACTTACGTATAGAGCAGTGCGCGCACATGTATTTATTAAGTGATACTAGATTATTATATTATATAATATAACATATTGATGTATATATGTACATACATAAATTATTAATTCTGTAACAATTGAAATTAGAAAATTATTAAAAAAGTAAAATATATTTTTTTTGCATAATCTTTCGCATTTTATCAATGTAGCATTTGTGCAAAAAAATCATATTTGATCAATTTTTCATAATAAAAATCGTTTATATGGCAAAAAATAATCCTTCATATGTGAAGTAGCATTTGCATTTTTTGTTTAAAGTATTTCATTTTACTCTTTATGATGGGTGATACGTATTTCTGCAACAGAATGTTGTTATAAATTCTCATTTCAGTTAAATAACCGCAAATACTACAAGAAATGGTGAACTCCCTGATCTCAATTTTTCAGCTCTGTTAGCCGTCCAATCGAGCAACATACAAAATTCAATTTGCACCTTCTCTTTTTCTAAGTTCTCTGGTTTAATATTCTATCATTCAGAATCATTGCGTAGATCTTATACGCCGTGTTCAAAAGTGCAATGCCTCTGTAGTTGTCCACGCTTTCTTTATCGCCTTTTTTGGGCAGTGGTGCAACGAGCCTCTTTTCCAGTCTTCAGGTTATCCTTCTCTATGCCATATCCTTTTCATTAGGTTGCATATCTCCTGTTGAGTATTACCTTGTGCAAAGACCCATGCTTCATTTGGGATACAATCTTCACCAGTAGTACTGCCACACCTTATTTTCAGTATTTGAGTTTTTTATTTCTGCAATCTCGTTTTCTTTCATTTTCAAAGCATAGTTTTCGGAACTCATTTCTTTCTTTCAAGTAATCTTCATTTGTTGCTTGGCC